TGGAATAAGATAGGGTGAGAATAAGGGATCTTTTTCCTTCTCAGTGGCCAAGGACCATGGCCTGGAAATGCTCCATTCTTAGCCTGTGATTTACTAAAGGTGGAGACTCAATTACTAAGAAGAGAATGGAAAGCATTGCTTAATTAAAACGACTGTGCACCACAGTCAGCCTATATATCCATAACCAGATGAGATCTGATAATTCAGGACAGAGACATCTTTGCTATCTGAACATGAAAAATACCTAGTCTTGTCTAAGTTTTATCCATATCCTCCTTAGATACAAACTTCACTGTGTAAAGACACCCAGCTTCCTTTAATGGCCAGCCCTCACAATGCCTTGTTTCTGGTTCTCTTCCCCAACCTTTAGGCAGTTGAGTGGGTTACCACATTTCAGCAAATCTAACTTTTCCTTCCCTGCCTTAACATTCAAAGGTCAATTGATGTACAGTCTTTCTATGAAATGTGATTTGGTTTCCAGAGAATGACAGTTCCCATGATAATTGCTGATATCACTGAGGTAAATCGAACAGCTTTCCCTGAGTACTTACAAAAGAATGTCTCCTTACATTCTGCTGTTTCAGAGAAGCTCCTCCTTCCCCACCTAGAATGCTGACTCCCAGGTGTCAAAAACTATGCTCTCTACTTGGGAATTCATTGAGCAGACTTCAGTGAAGGAACATTTTAGCCTTCTTATATAAAATGTAACAAGACCTGTCCCTATTTCAGTCTCCTATACAGTTGTTCTAGACTTAGAGCTAGGCCATCGAGCAGGGTAACCCTGCATCCATCATGTCAGATGTACGTAACAGTGGTCCGTGTTTTCCCATCATTTCTAAGAGGCCCTGCACAAAGTGGAATCTCAAAGTGTTTCCAGAGTTGACTAGGTTTACTCAGTTCCAGAGTTCACAGAGATCTGTATCACTAATAGCATCTATACTTCAAACTACCAGAATTTGCTTTGTATTTTTGTTTCCACTTTTTCTTCATCTTGCAAATAAATTAGAACGACCTGATCAGTGTGATTTCCCTGCAAGTCATTTTTATGACTCTCTGTGTGTGAGAATGAAATTTATCCGCTGGGGTTGCTTAGTAATTATGTCTACCATCTCACTTTTTCCATTGTTTCTTAGGTTTCCTGTCTTATTGCTGTCACCTAGCAGAGTTCATCAGCAGGTTTCCAAATAACTAGTGAAGGAACAAAACTAGCCACTTAAAGTTAAATACAGTGTTTACACAGCCCTTCTATCTGTCAGGGACAAGTTATAAATAAAATCTGTCTAATAATTCAGGTATACTATGAAGAAGAGATGCTACCATGGGAGCATGTGAAATATTCACACTCTGTTTTCATATTTCTGCCTTGCACACATCCATTCACACCCACTTTATCTGAGACAGTAGGCTACTGATAGAAGGGTTAAATCATTTTTGCAGTGATGTTCTCGGTTAGCATGATCCTAGTTTAAGTGTAAAACTAGATTTCTTGGAGGCAGATGTCAATGTCCATTGAACAGTTCTGCCCTTTGACTCTGCTTTTGTTTGCTGTCCTGAACAGTGGACAAGAATGCCAACCATTGCACATACCCAATGGCGCCCTCTCTAGCAGAAGTGGGTTGTCTTTCCTGTGCCAGTCCCATTCAGTTTGGAAGGAATATGTATGGATGGCTTGGCTGTATTTGAATGGTTTAGTTTTCCAGTGCTTGGTTTAGTTCAACCTTATTACAAGAGGGGGGGAGAGACAGAGACAGAGGGACAGAGAGAGAGAGGGACAGATAGAGGGAGGGAGGGACAAAGGAAGGGAGGAAGAGAGAGAGAGAAAAATCCTGTGACAGTTTTTATTCAAAAATGAGGTCAGTTTGAGTTCTGTCCACTTAGGGTCTCCCTGGAGTGCCACCTGTTTGCCAAGTACTGTCCCTGGAGCTGGCAACAATGACACAGAATAGACAATGCCCACTCAAAGAGGGCACAGTCAACATGACACAGTCATTGTGTGTGCTGGCTACTGTGTCAGAGCCACACATAGCACATCTGGTCAGTATTAAAAACAGAGAAAGAAGTCCTTCCAGAAGTGAGGTTAGCTAGGGAAGATGGTTGATAGAGATAACAAGAGACTGTGGGAAGTGACAAACCATAAGGTGTTGGTCTGCACCTGTGAAACTCTTGCAAGATTTCTGATAGGACAGTGTGCACTGCATTCATTGGCTTCTTCTGTACATGCTACCCTCCTCCCTTGCAGCCTTGGTGCACCTGCCAAATAGCTCAATCATTCCCTGCCCTGACTGTTTTCTCAGTACCTTTCAGACAGCACCTTTTAGGAAAGGTTTACCCTCTCCATCCTTTCTAATGCTCTTGTTGCATATTCCCTTCATGTCACTTAGACTGTTTATATTTTTTTCTAATAATCTGTTTTAAACTCTTTTATGTATCTATATGGCTAAAATGCAAATTCTCTGAAATTAGGAACCATAGATCCAGCACTATGCCTGGCCCATGGTAGCTGCTAAGTAAATATGTGTTAAGTGAGTGAACAGTCAGATCTGCCTAGCTTCATATTAGAGAGCAGATTGATGGGTATGCCTAATGTGTAAATGAATAAGTAGACAGCAGATGGTTTGGAGACTCCCCATCATGGTGGTGAAAATTGGGAATGCCCTCAATCTCAATCTTAGAAAAGCTAGAAACATGAAAAATGGAACAACATATACTAGAACCCCAATCAATGTGGACACATGGGATAAGGCAATTGTATAATGCCAGAGTAATAATGACATGAAACATAGAAAACTAAAGACTTTGGATGTGTTGGATCCAAAGCTACCCATAAGATGTCTGGATAGCATGTCCAGTGGATGCTTATTTAGAAGTTTGGAGTCCAGGAGAGCCAAGGGAAAAGATTTGAGCATCACTGGTTTAAAGATTCACTCATCTCTTTATTCACCAATATTCACTAGCCACCTTAAGGCATAGAGATTCCAGTGGTGAACAAACTAAGCAGGAATCTAGTTTCCACAAATTTGTTTACTCAGTACGTGATGATGAAGGTCACCCTCACACCAAGTCTTTCCAGCAGACTCAAACTAGTCTTGAAGATAGACTCGCTTTGGAGTGGCAGAATTAAAGTGGAAGGTCTATGTTTATACTGCTTAGTTCAGAAATTCTTACTAGTCTATTCTGAAAATACAGGCTTCCAGGGTTTGGTATTGAAGCAAATGTAAGCCCATAATGTGTGGGACAAAGAGAGATAAGCAAGAGCTTCGCTTCCCATTCAGCTCTGTTTTCCTGAATGTTGTGTGCATTGAGTCCACATTCATGGACCTTGTAGCAGATTTTCTTTGTTATGGTCTGTGAGGTAAATGTGATCCTTATAGTCCCCAGTAAAAAAGGAATGTATGATCTGTTTTGAAAAAAAAAACCTCATTGAGAAAATATTTTATTTATTTGCTGAAGTTTTTACTTCTCACTTCTTTCAGTCCAAGAGACAGTATCTCCGCACTTACTAAGTAAGACCCCCTAGACACAGCTGTCTGTAGGTTGCTTTGATACATAGAAGTCCTTAAGAATATTCAAGGTGAATGTTTGCCATTATGTTTTGAAAAGATATATATGATTGGTATATATCCTAAAATTTAGAACTATTTTTAGTACCATAGATATCCTATGATATATCAGAATTAATTGAAAATTTTATTCAATTAAAAGACTCAATACAATCCTTCCTTATTCAAAACTCTTTTGTAATCAAAAGAACTCATAGCTCCACTAATTATCCTCTAGAACATGGCCCCTTCTGTACATGTCTATGTGTGGCATCTGATAAACTTTCTGATATGTGTGCATTGAAGTACAGGAGTTTTCTTCCCCTCAGCATTGTACAAAATCTAGCTTTTATGCAGCATGCATAAAAATGGGTTGCTTTATGTTCAGATTGCTCCATTTTCTTATGCTAAATTTAAGGTATATGTCTTATTGTGAAGAACAGGTTTTCTTTCTTTCTTTCTTTCTTTCTTTCTTTCTTTTTTAATCTCTTTAGCTAACCCTTGCTCCAGTGCATCATACTTAAAGCGGGTAAAGATTAAGCTGACTTCGCAAACAAATCTCTCAACTATAATATGCCTTGTAAGATACAGAACGAAAACTGTAGGCGCAGGAATGGAAACCACCTGTATCACACTGAGCACCTCTTGCCATTTGTAAGCTTAATGCTTCTGAATACATCATGAAGTTGTACGGTGTTTGTGGATAGATGCAAAATCAGATTTTTAGAGAAAATTAATTATATCCAACTAAAATTAAGCAAACACAAAATTTAAAGATGAACCAATTTTGAGCCATTTATATATTTTTTATTAAGAAAAATCAACCAACACAAAACCTTTTTTTCCCCCTAAACAAATACGAATTCATGTGTGTGTGTGTGTGTGTGTGTGTGTGTGTGTGTGTGTGTGTGTGTTTGTGTACAAAATGATTTGTTTCCACATTTCAAGGACTGAATTTGCATTTCCTGTCCAGCTCTTCCAGAGTTCCCTCTGTAAGACCTCTAGAAAAGAAGGGAATATCTTTAGACTTCATTTAAGTGAACAGACCACTAAACCCCGATTCATCTTGTGATGAATGTTTCAAACCATTGTAGAGCTTGGCTATCCTGGCTGATTCCCAGGGATGCTGGGTCTTCATTGCTAAGTCTCAGGGATCATCTCTTTTCTTTCTTTTGTTGTAAATTGTCTTTTGTTTTAGATTTCCTGTTGATTTTTTTTAAGCATCTCAAAAATCACCCAACACCCAGCTGTAGTTTCAAAACTTTTCCATAACCTCGAGACTCAACCCAAAAGCTGTCTCTGTTACCAGATGACTGTGCCCCCTCCCACAGGAACACCAAGGGGGCTGAGTCTGCACTTAGACCTCGCACACTTAATCATAAAGTGATGAGTGTTTATGCTTGTGTTGTTGAGCAGTTTCTATTTATGACACTTGGTTTTCTTCTGATTTTGTTTCCACAGGACATTTGGGCTTCCAGGACAGTTTTGTCACATCAGGTGTTTTCAGTGTGACCGAGCTAGTAAGAGTGTCACAAAGTAAGTATAGTTTCACTCTGATTTGGTTCAAATTTGCCTTCAATTTGTATTTCCTCTCATAAGGCATTAACACTTTCAGAAAACCCTTTTTTGTTTCCTTAGACAAATGGTCCCACTGAGTTTGTTTCAAAGCCAATATCTTTAAACTAGGAATAATTAAGTACTTTAATGTGAGGCAATTGTGGCAAGGACCAATACTGAATGTCTCTCCTAGGCCTGGGTACATACCGTGAACTTGGCTTTAAAAGATCTTGAATCTTCCCTCTGATTTCTAAGGTATTCTGCATTTAAGAGAATTTGTTTCTGACCTTTAAGCAATGCTAATGCTCTCAGTTTGAGTGGCACATTACAGCATGGTCATTACCAGCTTGTCGATAACAACTACAGCAATGACGGAAGAGTACATGCCACCACCCAGTTCTGTTGATCAAAGATCCATTGACTGGAAGTTTGTTATGACATGATAGTCCAAGAAGCATGGAAGTCTGTCTGTCTTTGACTTTCTGTCTCTTCTTTCCCCACCTCAGATGTACAGTTGCCCTCCCTTCAGAACATCTCTGTTTTAAAAGCATTCCTAAAGTGACTATCTGTTCTCTGTCTCAATTTAAAAGTGAAATTACAAGGGAACACAAAGAAATAACTGACCTGGGCTCATAGGAAATCACGGAGTCTGAAATTACAGCCAGGAAGCCTGCATGTCACCAACCCAGGCCCTATACATATGTGTGACAGTTGTATAGTTTGGTCTACTTGTGGGACCCTTAGCAATGGGATGAGGGACTGTCCCTAATGCGTTGGTTGGCTTTTGGGAACCTATTCCTTATACTGGGTTGCCTTGCCCAGCCTTAATACAAGAGGAGGAGCTTAGTCCTACCTCAATATGATCTGCCATGTTTTGTTGATACCCATGGACGGCCTGCCCCTTTCTGAACAAAGGGATAGTGGATGGGGGTAGAGAGTGTAGAGAGGTGGGGGGGGGGGATGGAATGGGAAGAAAGGAGGGAAGGGAAACTACAGTCAGGATTTAAAATAAAAAAGTGAAAATAAACATAATAAAAGTTTACTTATATCCTCTACCTACTTCAGTATACTAAAGGTATGTAAGTTGATATTGTTAAACATGACTTTTGAGTGGCACCGAGCCCTTTATGGAAGGACAACAGAATTTGTAGCCCCTGATGTATATATTATAGGCTTGCAAGGATGCCCAGGTAAACCAGTTGGCCCTAACAGATGCCAGAAAAGTCAAGCCAGCCTGATCTTCCAAGCCTAGATTCTTTCAGCTCTTGTTTTAGTCATCAGAGCCTGGAAGATTCTTGAGGGTCCAAAAGATAGGATATGGTGTGGGCCTGAAGGAAAATCCAGGGGTTCTTGAACATTTATTATTTGCTAAGTTCTCTGCTTGGCCTTGGAGAAGGGTGCTTCATTTAATTCTTGCACCAAACTCTAAGGTTACAGGTGATCATAAAGATCATTTATCTAGTTGAAGTCATTTATTCAAAGTTAAACAGTGAGTAAATGGTTCAGCTAAGCTTTGATGTGGCTACATCTATACTTTGAGACTAACTCAGGGGAGTTTGAGAAACTTTTCTGTTTAAGACAAGGCAGGTTAAGTGTTGGAAAGGCCACTGTGCATGTTAGAATTCTGGCAGTCAGAGAGGCTGCCATTGGTGGTGAGGTACTTCTGGGTGGTAATAGTGGATTCCTCAAGGGAAGACAGTAGAAGTAGCAGGTGGTGGCCTGCAATGGAGATCCTGCAGCTGTATTATGAGAGGTGTTCAAAGTAGCAGCTGACAGGGAGCTAGATGGCTTTGTTGAACAAGAAGACATGTGCTTCCCTGGTTAGTGCATGGTTGATTAGCCAGTCTATGATCTGGCCATAGACAGATAACAATGCATATATATTAAAAGTGGTCAATATCCTACATATTTCTTATACTCTTACTAATAATAGCATATAAAGAGTATGTTTTATCAGAATATATCAGTCATAATGGCATTAGAGGGAAGTATATTTATTAAAGCTTTATTGAGATCCAAGCATAGCCTTGATTTAAAAAAAAAATCCTTTTTACTCTAATATTAGAGCTCTAGCCCATTTCATTCTGCCTTGGCTGCTCCAATCTTACATTAGTCTTCATTACCAGCAGAGTTCCAAGGTCTGGAGGTGGAAGAGGCCAGACAGCTCAGAAACATCCCTGGCATCTCGCCCTTCCTCCTTTCCCTTATTTTCCTTTCAGGTCTTATAGCCAAGATTGATTAGCCCTCCACTCAGTCTAAGGCAGCATGATTGCCAAGTGAATTCTACATGTTCCTTCAAGACTGCCAGAGGGGATGCCTGCCCTTGGGGCTAAGTTTGCAGAATGCCTTGGATTGTTTCCTGTGCCTGTGTAGGGGGATGGTTAGCAAAGGCCTGACATTGTGAGCATCCTTCAGCTTCTCATTGCTTTCTGATTCTGCACACTGCTGTGTAATCGCTCCAGGACTCACTCATACATGGTCTTGTGCTGACTGCAACTGCTTGGCAAGAAGAGGACTGGGCTACATCAGCTACACCATGGCTTCAGGCCAAACTGGTCGCTTGTATGCCAGAGACCCTCTCTTCCTTGTAGATCTTTAATCTAGGTTTGTCAAGGTTTATTTTATAGATCACCTTGGCTACTGCAATAGGAATCCCCATATGCTGTTTCTCAACCTGAACACCTTTCTCAAAGGCATATGCCATAGTTAGTTTTCTATTCCTGTGATAAACACTGACCAAAAGAAACTTAAGGGAAGAAAGGGTTTATTTGCTTACAGGTCACACTCTATTATCAAAGGAAGCCAAAGCAGGAGCCTGGAGGCAGGAATTGAAGCAGAGACCACAGAGAAATGATGCTTACTGGCTTGCTCAGTCAGGCTTCTTAGACAATCCAGGAATACTTGCCCAAGAGTGATACCTCTCACAGTGGGCTTGGCTCAACCACATCACTCATTAATCAATAAAATGCCCCATAGACGTATCCACAGATCATGACGGAGACAGTTCCTCAGATGAGGTTCCCTCTTCCTAGTTTGTGTCAGGTTGGCAAAACTACCTAGCAGAGCTGCTAGGTTCATTCCTCAGAAATGTGTTGCCCCCTTCTCTTCCTGTACCCACACGGGGAGAGCTGAGTCGCTGTTTTGGAAATTCAGGGGAATTTTTGTAGATAAGTGGGGCAGAGGAGCATTCTTCATCCTTGACATAGAAAAAGCTAACTGGCCATGTTAGCCAGGATGTTGTTACCCCAGCATTGTTCAATTTGAATATGAAAAATTATGTGAATGAGACTTTATCAGGTACATACTTTGTATTTTGGGCTAAACATGTGGGCACTGTATCCCTTCTCACAGATGAAGGATGCTGTAGTACTCAGAGACATTGAGCATCTTACTCTTGCAAGCCTTTGTTGTGATTGTTCCTGTAATTTCATCATAAAGTAAAACAGAGCAAAGGATTCTGGGTTTTGATTGAGTAATCATTTCTTGAGGTGATATATGTTTACTGCATTTTTAAAGGATACAAAACTGAACAAATAAAATATACAATTATATTTTCCCTAGATTCATTTTCAGTATGACTTGTTTTCAGTTAGTAGACTTCATATTTTTAACTCTGGTAGTGTTATATATTGAACCCAGAGTCTCAACATGCTAGATAAGTCCCATACCAATTAGCTATATCAACAGTCCGGGAAGGGGGGAGCATATATTAGAGCAGTTTTTAGGTTTACAATTTTCAGTTGGCAAAACAGAGTCCTTTATGTCCCATCTCTAACCATTTCCCCTGTTATTAATGACTTTGGGTAGTTTGATACAATTCTTCCTATAGGTTAGCCAATATTGACACAGAGTTATTAACTGGAGTCTGGAGTTTACAGTAGGGTTTCCTCTTGTGCTTTTGTTCCTGTTACATTCCTAGTGATTCCACAAAGGTGTAATAGCACCTGTCTACTATTATGTATCATGCAGGATGCTCTCACTGCCCTGAGAACACTGTACTCCACCTATCCACAGGCCACACACCTCTTGGATTGCTCTGTTGTTTTGTGCCTTGCGTGGTGTGGATATTTTACTGGTTCCCACGTCAGAGTTCCTTATTCCCTCTGAATTTCTTCCTTGGTGATCCAGCCTGACCTGTTGTTTACTTCATCACAGTCACAGCTAGTTCTGACCACACATAGTATGGACACTTTATATTACTCAGAAATGGTCCTTTTGCATTGAAGGGTTTCTCTCTCCAGATACCTAAATTTGTTAACCTAAATTTGATTGTAAAAATATATTTACTTCCCCCAGGATCCTAGTGAGGCTTTAACTTGAGCAGAGTGGCTAGTGCTATTTCAGTATTTGCAAATGAAAAGTCAATGAAATAACTATATGCTGATTCTGTTGTATGGGATAGTGCCACCTCCAAGGTGGAGCTGACAGAGAAACTCAGCCTCATAAATTCCTAGGTGAGAGTTAGACTAGACAGCCGGAGTGCTTGACAATAAATGCCTGGATCAGATTTGAGGAGCTGCTGGACTCCACTGACTCCAACTGGCCCATAGGAGCTGCAGTCACCTACGAACTCCCTCACCCTCGTCTCCTGCACTCAACCTTTAATTTTTTCCACTATCATCTAATGTTTGTGAACTATAGTAAAGGAAGTACTGTAGCTGAAAGTATGGATTTGTTCTGTTGCCTGTCTCCACACCACGTGGCAGGACCATCTGAAAGCACTTCTCGTTATTTATTACCTTTTTCCACAAGAGGGAGAAAACACTGACTATTGCAAGCTGGGCCAGAGAAAAGGAAGAATTCAGTACAGGGCAGAGGCTCCCGGGAGCGACCATGGTTCCGAATCACTGAGGTTGTTTTAGCATAATCCCATGAAGGAGGAGACAGGAGCCATCTGTTGAGATGGCTCTTTATTACACAAAGCCCTCTACAGGCATTTTTAGATAGGCCCCTCCCATGAGCTGCCATGGAGAGCCCAT